TCTCTGTGAATTAGGGATGAGGGTAACTGTTGTTGCAAAATTAGTACAAATTTTCTAGTGGGTACTTGAATTGTTTTAAGTTCAGTAGAGTTTTTTTATTCTGGCAGCAAGTCAAGAAGTTCAGTGCTGCTCACCTGTTTACTACTTGGCTTGCCTAAAACACTCCTAGCAGAAACTCTTGGAAAGTAATTGCTTTTAATGAAATAACCAAGACACTGTATCTTCAGAGTTTTCACTTATCATGGCAGACCCAGAAAACTGACTCAAATTTGGTAGCAATTGTGACAAAAGCAGTTTTCAGTAGTTGTTGTTTTTATTTTTGTTTTTTTATGATAGCATAGTAATCCACTATGGATGCCACATGGAACTCTCAAAAAATATTTTTTGTGCTTTATGTATCAATCAATTTGATGCTTCAAATTGAAAAAAGGAAAAAGTGAGTTTCACCAACTAAAAGAGTTCTCAACACAAAGATGACCTAAGACACTAAATTTTATTATTCACAAAATTGTCCTTGTAATAAAAAGTTTGGTAGAAGTCTCGCAAAAAATAACTTCTCATACAATTCTATGGTCTGAAAGATTCTCTTTCAAACAAATCTTATGGTAACTGTAACAGTATAGAATAAATATCTTTATTTGGATATATTTCTCAATCTTTTAAGTATTTCAAAATTATATTATCATAACATTAGTTAACACAATGCAATAAAAATTATGGAAATCGTATGAACGAGTGCATTTCGTGATTTATGGGCACGAGTGATGTTTGAAGTTCTCACGCCTACGGCTTGTGCAATTTTGAGGCTTTCCAAAGGCATCACCCAGTGACCATAAATCACGGAGCACGGCAGATTCATACGATTTTTTATTTATTATATTCTCGATTTTTTTTTTATAATTTGGTGTTCAAATTTGGTGCTTCCCCGGTGTTTCCATGGCAACTTCTCCGTATTGCACTCTATAACCTCTATTGCACTCTATAACCTATTTATGCATTCATCATTGACCAATCAGAAACACGATATTTTGTTGAGTATATAATAAGAACTAGTATAGCAAACCTTTGTGTCAGAAAACCTCTGAGTGCTAAGAATGGGAATATCAATTCACTGAATGTTTATCACTGACAGAAACTTAAATGTGTGTAAAGGACTAGCATTGTTGAGATCAGTAGCTGAGAGGAAGCATTTCTGTTCTCTTCCTTTAACCCTTAAATACCCAAGATCTGATTGTCAATTCTCCCTTCTAGTTGCTACACATTTACTTGTAAATAAGTTATGAGAATTTGATGTAAGATCAAGATGGCTTCTGCCTGATAAGTTTCAGTATTAACATTATCTGTTTGCTGCATAGTATTTGGAGAAGTTACATGAATCAGTCACTTCTGTGAGTTTTCAAATTGTCTAATATTTTGGTCTGATTCTTTCAATGGTGTCTTGTCACCTAATAAATTACCATGAGTCGCAAACTGAAATGGTTTTCAATGTAGCATGAGCATAAGTTGTCCTAGGCCAGATGGGTATGAAAATATTATGACATCTGTTAGTTACAGTTTTCCTCATGGGTTGATAGAAAGAAAGGTTATAATCAAGTGGTTCTACAGGCTCTATTTTATAGTTTCCCATAAAATAAAATGTACAAATGGCAAACTAAAAGACATCTTGGTGAACAAAATGGGAACAACTTTAACTGAAGAATATGGTACAACAATAAGTACCACATCAACAACAGCAGCAATAACAAATCTCCTCTACCTAGAGGGCTGCAGCCGTTGCCTAGCTTTCTAAGCCATCCTGAACAGCTTCTGTGGTACTTCCTGTAATGCGTTCCTCTCAACACGATGTGGCAATATTCTCGTGAAACAACGGGGTAATCGTAAAGCTGACTGAAATTCATCTCAGGTAAATAACGGAAATTACCCGCCCATCCAAGGGCTGAAATCCTTACCATAGTTACTTCTTATCTGAAGTTGCTCTGGTTTTGTTCTAGGTCCTGGACATCTGTAAGAAGTTCTTGATTTTCTCCACTACTCGATGGAAGGATGTGTCACATCAGCAAAGCATAAACTTTCAACACTAAGTCAGCTCTAATTTAGCCAGTCGATTTTAAATTAGATTTTAACATCTCCCTGAGATCTTTTGCTTCGAGTTTCTGGATGTCATCTAATGATGAAATTTTCGTATTGTTGTGTTAAAGAACTATTTTGAAGGGAGAATCACATTGAAAAGTGCATTAGATCATGAAATGTCAACAGATCAGCTGTTTGAAAGAACCGCTGGGTCAACCCCAGCCTTGTTATCATGTGTGTGCGGTTACTAATCCAGTATGGCGCTGGGAACTGATAAAGGTCTATTGATAAATTAAAATTGTTTAACCAGTGTAGATCATATAACTTTATGTTGTTTTCAAGTGTTTTTGTTAAATTTACTTTGCCATTACTTCAAAGCTACCCTGCACTATCACTGTTAATTTTTTTATTTAATTAATTCTTACTAAGTCAGAACTGATTACTGCATTTCTCTTACACAGGTGTCAGGCTTTCCGGCTCAGGTTTCATGTATCTCAGAGGTACTATCAAGGGATCAGGTGAAGGTGGCATTCTTGGGACGAACTAGCAATGGAAAGACCACTACAATAAATGCCATGCTACAAGATAAGATCTTACCAATGGGAATTGCCCGTACTACAAACTGTTTTTTCAGTGTATATGGTTTAGATTTACCAGATCCATGTATCTTGGTTCCAGGGAGTGATGACAAAAAGAATGTGGAAGGTATGTCTTCCCAAAAAGTAATTATATGTACCACATTTTCTTGATTGAGCAACCAGTGCATTTATTTCAAACATGGTCTGGTGAACCTGGTGTTTATAAGTATTAGGATGGTGTATTAATCTGGGATGGGTGTCCATCATCTTAGTTGGTTAAAATACCCATACTGCAAGACTGACAGGTATTATGGTTAAGAAAAAATAAATTTTCTCTGTAAAGGCAAACTGTCACCCAGTCTGGTGCTTATATGGTTTTAACAATTAATTTCGGTTTGACATTTAATTTAGAAAATATCACTGATGCTTAAATTATCTTAAAGCAGAAAATACTTATGAAATACATTAAATAATACTCCATTTGATATATGTGTTATACAAGTCAAAATGATTAGTTAATAATCATGATAATTACACATTTTCCTTATTGTCATTGAAACAGTCGTTAGATGAACTTGCTAATGCCTTGTGGGAAGAAGAGCTTGATCCCAGCAGTCTTGTTCAAGTGTTCTGGCCAAAGTCCAGGTTTGATTATGTTTTGTAATTATTATATCATTCACATGTACTCACAGGTAACTGTTGTCCTGTCAATCAAAGTGCACTTGCTGTTCAACCTTGCAAACTTTATAAAAGTAGAATGTTGTGCCCTTTGCTGTACATGAATTGTTCTTGCCCAGAGTTATTTCAAAGAGGTTAAGTTAGTCAATATTTTTTGGCTTTAAATAAATTCTGTTATTATGTATTACTTATGTATTATAAAATATCTGATTGGTCAAGAGCATTCAATCAATATACAAAAGCAGAAGAAGTTGACAAGATAACCCAATATCTGTAGCAGACATTGCATTTGTCACTTGGAGTTCAATGTCTGCCTAGTTTCCAAGCCCTTACCCCATGAAGTGTTCTCAAACTTTTGTAAACCCATAGAGATGTGTCTTCTTTTCCAGATTGTTTTTAAAAAATGTGCAATTAAAACAATTACCAAATTCAGTTTTTACAAGATATCATGAACCATTAAGCATGGTGTCTTTGTAATCTGCCTCTACGATTTCAGCAGATAACTTAGAACTCAGTATTTATAATTCAAGTTATCATGCTCAACTTCCTTCAGTAATTGTTCAATACTCTACAGTAAAGTTTAAAGCTGTGTCATTGGTTTTTTCAATGAGTGTCTTATAAACAAAGGAAATGTACTTGTAGTGTTGAAAAGCTCTTGGATAGGCTGCCTCTTGTGTCTTTAAAAGATACAAAAACTTTCCAAACACAGTTCACATGTTCTAGATAATGCTTTCACATTAGATCAGGGGTTTGTATCATTACAAGAGAGTTTTACCTGTACATTATTATCACTTGTGATGGTTTCATTTTTGTAAAAATGTATTTTTTTTAACCTCAGATGTAAAATTTTATCAGAGGATGTTGTTTTGGTGGATAGGTAAGCAAAATAAATGTGATGAAAGGCACTGTATAATTAAACTTTTGAGCCCCAAGAATTAAAATTCTCCTTACAATTTCACCTCTGAATAACACATTAAGATCCCAAGAATAAAAGAAATGATCACCAGCTATGGACGCTCTGAACTGTTTGGCAAATTGTCTTTGTCTACTCCTAAGGGAATGTATAGAGATCAGTACAGAGAATATGCATACTAATATTAGGGTGTGAAGGTTAAAGAAGAACAAAGAGACAAAAGAACAAAAAAACAATGAAAACAATAGGTTCATGAGGTATTGCTCTATTGTGACATGTTCTGTGTCTTTCACACCAAGAAGCCTAACATTGCTATATAAATAGTCACAGACAACTGTTATTTTAGTCTTGGTATAGATGTGAGCCCTGATCTTGATCTGTGGATAGATAAGTACTGCTTGGATGCTGATGTGTTTGTCCTGGTTGCTAATGCTGAGTCAACACTTACGTTTGCGGTATGTTCATGACCATTCATGTGCTACGTGTAAATTTAAGATACATCACATACAAACTTTAAATTTGATTGAATTTTTTAAAATTTCAGTTGCTTTAAAATGTGACTTATTGCAGGAGAAATTTATTCAATCAGTGTGGTAGCATTCATACATTAAACCTTCCCATGCTTGTGGGATAGTTTCTCATTTCGTACCCTTGTCATTTGCAGGAGAAAAACTTTTTTCACAAAAGGAGTCAGCTTCTTTCAAGACCAAACATCTTCATTCTATATAACAGATGGGACGCATCTGCATTAGAACCCGATAAGATGGAGCAGGTAAGTAAGCAATTATTTGTCCTTGATACCCATTTAAATTTGAAATCAAACATGTCAAAAATGGAAACAAAACACAACATTGGAGTTGCCTTTCATCACAGTTGCTCTCTTCTTAGGAAATTGTGGCTGGAAAAAAAAGTACTGATAGATTCATAGTGGAGGGGGGGAGGGGGTGCTTAGATAGAAGAGAAGGATTGAGGTATGATGATGGGTGGGACATCACACCATTTATCCCTCCTCCCCCCCTCCCCCTGGACAACAACCTCCTTTCTCTTCCCCCCCTCCTCCACTATCAGATGATGGTAACAAAGTGTGATTTTTTAAATTTTTTTACCTGTTTCCTTAAGGTGAAAAATCAACATCTCAGTATGAGTACTAATTTCCTTGTTGATGAGCTCCAGTGTGTAGACAAAGGACAAGCAGAAGACAGAGTTTTTTTTGTCTCTGCTAAAGAGGTAAGCTGCTGGATATTTTATATCAGGGTTTATAAGGACCAATTGCAAATAACTTTGAACAAGTCTTCAAGTTTTTGTTACTGCTATGCAAAGAGACATTTGATACAGGACACACCTCTTAATTGATTAATTTATTTTCCCACTTTCTTTTCATATTTCTGTTTTACCCAGACATTAAACACCAGAATGCAGAAAAACCAAGGAATGCCTCAAGGAGGTATGTGGCTGATCAAAATGTACATTCTCTGGAAACAGCATAAACACAAACTGTCAACAAGTAATATTGAATCAAGTAACTAGCATTGCCTTGTTGTTTTTCAGGTGGTGCCATTCATGATGAAGGATTTCCTGCTCGACAGCTGGAGTTTGAGAACTTTGAACGCAAATTTGAGGTAATGTAGCTGCTGCTCAGGCTTATAATCCAGCATAGTTTTCAGTTAGCCATTTGTCTGTTGGCAGACCCCCTATGAACCAAAAGGTGGCAAAAATATTTTGATGATTGCAATGTGGAGTTTAATGGCATTGTTATTCAAGGAGTATAGAATTGCTAATATAGCTTTACATATAGCTTTGCAGGGGTTTTCCCAAAAGCTAGTCACAGGTGGTTTACCACCACCTTAAAGACCTTTACCTGCTATCTGTTTAGCTCGGAAAGGGGCCTTTTGACCCCTTTCTTAGGGAACTGCCACCTTGAACACCACTGGCAGCTTCTTATGGAAAAGGCTATTGAAACCCCTGGGTCTGTTGTGTGTTAGTTCATTGGTAAGAGCTAATCAAAGATTGCTACCACAGAATCATGATGTATATGAACATGTACTTTTTTCATTTAAAGTTAAACAACTTTGCTTGTCTAGAGTTTGTGTCAATTAATTACTCTCACTTCACAATAGAAATTTTTCATGCTTGATTTTATAGGAGTATATTTCTAAGTCAGCCATACAAACCAAGTTTGAATCTCATGCAGTCAGTGGATTGAAAATTGCAAACACATTAAAGGTTCTTTTGAAACAAAAAGTGGATTCTGCTTCTCAGCAAGGGTAAGAAAGAGACAGATAATTTTTTTCATTTTGCTTAACAAATAGTGATTTTAGTTAATTGTTGGTTTTTCTAAGTTCATATGTTCTATTTTGTTCAGATCTAAACTGAAGAAAGCCAAGGAGGAGCAAGAGAATAGACTGAAGTATGTGAAGGAACAGCTTGAAATCAGTACACGTGAGATAAAATGCCTGATCAAGGAGATCACTTTTAAAGTTGAGGGTCAGGTAATAAAATAATTATTCAAATGCTCTTTAGGATGCTTAAGTTTAAAACCTGTGGTTTATTCAGTCTTGAATCTCAGTTATTTCAAGTTTTTCTCAATGTAAGGTTCCAGAACAGATTAAAAAGCATGTAATCAAATGGATGACTTTACTTGATATGCTTCTCAGATGCTTGCCAGGTGCCTCTGATATGTATGCTAAATTTACTTTGAAGTGAGTGGTAAAATCATATCAAGAGTTTGCCTTAAATTTACTGTTATAGTGCCTGAGTACACACAGATAAATACCTAATTTTTAATAAGTATGATGACTTATAGTATTAAGGATAAACACAAATCAGAATACAATCTAACAGAACTAAACTGTCAGAGCTTTTCCCAATTTCGACACCCAAAGTATTGCTACTGCCCCCTGAAATGGGAAGCCAGTCCATCTCATGCTACCCGTCCCCCACCCTGACAGCATTTCTTCATGTTTTCCCAATCCCTTGTTTTTATCCATTTTTACTCTTAAAGCCTTTCCGCACAAGCTGACAAAACTAGAATTGTCCCGACAAAATCAAAAGACAAATTTTGTCAAATTTTAAAGCTGTCAGATTCCGTCAGCACCTGATCTGTTCATAAGAGCAGCCGACATAGTTGCCAAAGGATTCCACCTTCAATTTCCAGGATTTATTCGGAGTCGTTTTAAAATTTTACAATCCCTGAGTTTTGCAACAAAAGGGAATTTTTGCCTTTCTAGTTAACTGATTTCAGTTCAATAACGCGCTGGTCTTAGCTTTTACGACAAATGATCGACGAGGTTATCACGGTTATGTTTATTTAGTCGATTTTGCCCAGTTTTTACCTGGGACAAATTTCTAGTCACGACAACCCATCCGCACTTGTAAAATGTAGGTGATGACAAAAAAATTTCTCCAAATAAACAACTTTTTCGCTAGAGCGGAAAGGCCCTTAGAGAGAGAGAAGGAGACTGTCAGAGTTAGGTGCCTTGTTCAAGAACACGACATACTGACCCACCCGGTGCTCAAACCCAGACCTCTTGACCTGTATTTCAGTGCTCTGATTAATTAGCCATATGTGTCGCACGTTGTCCTATGTACCGATTCTTATTAACTTAAAGTTCAGTGAAAAAGTCTGATGTTGCTTACTCAGCAAAATGTTTTGCCTTCTTTAGGTGACTGAGGCTATGACAGAAGAGATTGATCGACTGGGCTTGCTGGCGAATGAATTCGATCATCCATTCCCTACTCATACTGCGTCGCTTAAAACGTACAAAAAGGTGAAAATTACTTGTGTAGACAGTTTCACCGCCGAGCAACAGCTGCAATGGAAGGAGAATCTGAAATTTAACTCTATATCGCTGATTATGTCAATAGGAGCTGTACAAGGACCTCAAAAGGGGCTTGGAAAGGAATATAATGGCTCTTTGTTCAAATTCTCAAATTCAAGTGATTTATGAGGCACATAAAGAAATGGGAGGTCAGTGTTCAGGAACTACCCTATGTTAAATGAACGATGTGTGAATATGCATGTGTACGTAAGCCTAAAAATTATCTGGAGATGTACCTTTGAAAAACAGCTTGTGTCAGCTTACAGAACCGGTCTGACTTAACCATTTAACTCCCACGAGTGACTAAGACAGAATTGCTCCATACAATATCAACCAGATAATTGATGAGAATAAAGAAAAATATCAATTTGGGGATAACTAGTTGATCCAATACTAAATTCTCAGAACTAACATTGTAAAAATTGTATGGTTGACAGGAAGGAGAATTTGATCTGGGAGTTAAAGGGTTAAAAACCTTCCACACCTTCCGCTACTTTGATCTTTCTGATCGTAAGTCACGCTTGCATTGTTTTGCACGAGGATTTTGATAGCTACCAGTCAAACTTGTCAATCAATGTCATCACGCCGCACCAATTCGTGGGTAAATAGATTTTTCAAGAGCTAGGATTTGCATACTAGCCTTCCATCCTCTACCCACCCCACCCCCATCTTGCGACCCTCTTACTCTCGTTCCGCCACATCTCGCGCGGTCAGGATGATAAAAAGTTCTTTTCTCGTATTGGAACGCTTGTCACAGAGGATATGCACTAGGGTCGCAAAATAACTGAGGAAGAGTAATAACTCATGGTACATCATGAAGACACTCATATGTTAGAAAAAAAAGGGGGGGAAGGGAAAGAAGCCAACAGTAAAGAGGCATGAGTTTTTAAGGACCAGTCAACAAATTTTGGGTGTGGGGGGTTGTGAAGGATTAAGGGGAGGATGACGTTGTTTCCAGGGAGAGAAAGGAGGGGGGGGGGGTCAGTCGTCACCGACAGAGTGCAAAGTGGGACTGTAATTAAATTGACTGCCAACATCAATTTACTACCAACGAGGGGGGAAGAGTCATAAGCATATTTCAGGGCCTTATGAGGGGATCTGGTAAATTTTATCGTGACACGACCGACATCCTCCAACCCCCTCCCACTCCCCCTCAGATGATAACTAATGACTGGTCCCTCAAGTATATATGAATATATTTTTCTTTTTTCCCAGACCGCTTTCGTAGGCTTCTTTCGCCTAAAACACCAGAGTTATCTCTTGAGCTCGTCACTCCAGCGTGAGTATTGTGTTCCTTCGCTCATTAAATCCTAACATCAGTATGTATATTCTCTATGCTGTTCTCCACACATGTTAAACAATCAAGGGCTTCTTTAGTTGGTATTCATCTCCTTAATTCTTGTGACCTGAAAGTGTATTCCGGGGTGATATTGTGAGGAGAAATTAGATGCTGGTCAAAGGTTAAAGATCTACTGACTCGGTATAATAAGACATCAGGACTACTGGCTTTAGGAAACCAGCAAGCAGACACCCCAGACACTTAACTAATGGGCTTGAGGCAGAAGCCCATTACTTAAGTAATGGGCTCCTGCCTCAAGTCAAATTTCCGAACTTCTTAAAATGCAACTTGAATCGAGAAGCCGAAATGTTCACACCTAGGGGACCCGTAGCGGGTTCATTTCAACACTTGCTGTGACCACGCGGAAGAGCATCAGGGGCAGCCATATTACGTTCGTCTTCTCAGTTGGTATAAAGTAATCATTGCTCTATCATTGTGCTTGTCCTCGGGAGCTCTTCAACATACAGTCCACACATCAATCATTGCGGCCAAGATAGTCTCGCTAATTTTTTTTTTTTGAGCTCCAATATTTCGGTCCGGACTTCAGGCTCGCTCGAACAAAAACATTAATATCAATTCGGTCTGTACAAAATGCAGAGTGCATACTGCAGACCGGGTACAAAATGCAGACTGCGGACTGGGTACAAAATGTAGACTGAGAATTTATACTGTTTTTTCGTCTGATACGTGATAATATGTCATCTTTCGACTTACCGAGCGTCACGCAATCGCTTCTCCGCGCTCATCTTTCACGATTATTTGCACTATTGTAGAATATTCCATGCCCGTTTCTTGATCACAATCATTCTTTATATAATTTTAAGCCTTCATATAGTCTTCTCACTGTGCGCGCGAGTTGGTTGGTGTGATATCTGTACAGAATTTACCAACTTAATTAAAGTAGATGTAGATGTAAGTAAGATGTCACAAACCGCCATCGTCACGATTTAAAGGAGCGTGGGCGGAGTTAAGAGGCCGTCTCTCTTATTTCCACCCGGTCAATTTTGCGTCAAAAATAATTTTGCCTGAAACTCTGTTAACAGAAAGACTTTACCTAGGAAAGAACTAAATTAGATTTGGTTTGATTCGAAATAATTTTCTGACTGCATTACGGGCCATAATTATTTCCCAGTCCGTTGGGACTGTCGCAACGTCTCGAAAATTGAAAAATAGGCATATTTTGTAACATTGTAAAATATTCGATTCGCATAGTTAAGCCACAGAATTTATATCAGATTGCTTAAAACCTTTCTAGTTTGCCAAGAAAGTTAGAATTTGCCCTCTCAACATATTTGAAAAGGCGAATTTTAGCATATTCTGACCGCTAGAAATCGCCATCGGCCGATGACCGTAAATAACCTTGATTTAGACGCTAAGTTTTGGGATTTGGGACCTGGTTGACGATTCTATCCTACACAGCCGTTAAGTTTAGACCTTTATAGGCAAAAATATGCAAAAACCCCTGTACGTTTTCGATTTTTCAAAAGTTATGACCGTTTGAATCAGCACATGTACGAGCATTCGCGATTTTTTCGCCTACATCAAAATCGAACCACTGGAGCAGATTTCGTCATAAATACAGCTTACCCGCTTTGCAGCCCGTCTTCATGGCTCACTTCAGAATTTTTCTAATAACCAAATTGATGAAATCCATGATAACTTCAACAAATAGCTAGGTATTGCCTTCGAAAAGTAGGCGGCATCCACCGTGATTCGTGGTATCAAAACAAATGTCGGAATTGGCCACATTTCGCGGTGAATAACCCATTTAACATCGCTGCAGAGCTGAATTTTTTCCAAAATCAGAATGTAAACTCTCCATGTCTGGAAGCTGAGGGAGAAATGAAGGTTTTAGGCTTCTGAAGTGAGGAAATGATCGCTTAAATTTAGGTCCAGTTCGATGTTATACTGTTCTCACAAAGGTCCGCACAAAAGAGAAGACCGCTGATAGCTTGTGCCGTACGTTGTGCCATATGGTTTTGTTTTGTATCCCAAAGTAATATTTGGGCAGAAAAATTTTGGATGAAAAGAATAAATGCTTTTACCTGGAGTTTGATATCATATAATTAATAAATCAATTTCAAATATTCTGAGCTTGCTTCTCTCGGTTCCGCGTCGATTGTGTCCACAGAACAGCAACCTGTCAATAGCTGGAGAAATCATGGGTTTATGTGAAATTTCAGATATTCCTCGCTTCCCAAACTGGTGAACTGGATAACTCCAGCAAATACCTCCAAAATTCAGCGGTCGGCATCTGTCGATACTCTTCTTTGACTCGTTGTTGCGAACTTAACTCGAAAACGAAAGCCATGTTTTGCGCTTAATGTCCCGTTGAAACTTTGGATTGCAGCTGCATTCTCTTCAAGAATCAGTCATAGAACTCCACTTGTAAGTCTATGTGTCGAAATTTGGCGTTTTGGAATTTAAAGCTGAACGATTGCACTATCGCGCATAACAGAGGTCCGCATTAATCATTGCGGGTGAACCCGCTGACCCTTTATTTTTTTTGGAAGGCCTGCAAGTGTAATATGGCATGCAAGTGCTTTTTCGAAACCAGAGAGGCTTCAGTCTGTAGCGAGTCTTCAGCGAGGTTGTTAAAGCTTTCATTGGACAGAGGATACGCATTGACGAAACACCCAGTGAAGGGAACAACAGCTGCAGTAAGAATAGTAGACGAATCAAAGAACACTCTCTGTACAAATAAGATTTAGCATTTTAGTAGCTTCCACAACTTAGAATATGGAGATATCGGTTTGAGAGTTTGGAAATATTATGGCATCGGTAAAGGGATGTACATTCCATATGACGTAATTTATATCAAGCACCAAGGTCAAACGTCCCTTTAAACCATAGAATCTCAAGGGTTTTATGATCCTCCTGAAAAGCGTGTGGTCAAGCGTCGTTCAAAGGGCAGCAAGGAAACAGAGAGTACAACGCCATTGTTTGAATGCTCTGTGTTTGGATGTGTTGAAGTGTTCGAAACCTTTTCGCAGCTGGAGCTGCACCTGGACGTTGGAAAGCATAAAGTCAGCAGGTTAAAGCCAGTATGATGCAATCAAAAGGGACTGGGCCCTTAAGTTCTCGTCGATAGATACCGCTGGTATCGAGTGTTCGAGCTGTTCGTTAGATTCTAGTACACCACGCACTTCTCCCGTCCACTCGTCTTTACGAACAGGATGGGCCGTAAGCAAACCAAGGGGCAGCGTAAGATTTTCAGAGAAGGTAAAAGAATACCTAACGGCACGGTTTACACTTGGAGAAAGAACTGGGCGAAAGGCCGACCCCGCCCAAGTTGCAGTGGACATGCGAAATGCGAAAAATTAATCAAATGCACGTTTGTTCACTAGAGAACAGTGGCTGACAAAGAGCCAAGTTCAGAGCTTTTTCGCCCCGGCTAGCAGCAATGCGGCGAAAAGATCAGGGTGTGATCGGGATATCACTGGATGAGGAGAAAGATATCCAATGCGTCCAGGAAAATTCCGAGAGATAAGATTTGGTAGACAAAGTTAACAAAGAGATCAAAGTCTCACATCCAATCTGCTACGATACGTAGGACCTCTGTGAACGTTACCACAATAACACACTTCAGAAATTCAATGTGGTTTTGTTGAGAGCCATCTGAAGTCATTTTGAGATCCCTGTAAAATTGAGGGACAAAAAACAGATCCTCATAGACAAACTGTCGGACGTGATTAGTGATTGTCAGTGTGTTTCTCAGTAGACTTATGTAAACAATGTCTTATACGGTGGCTGAAAGTGTAGAATATGCTCTACAGATACAAACTACCTTTACTTCCGATATCAAGTTCTGACGGCGTTGTTATAGTGTAATATATTATAATATCTAGTAGTCAGTGAAATGTTTTGATGAAATCGATTGAAAATTTACCAAAAGCAATACTTATAACATCTGTTCATACGAAGCATGTGTCAAGTTTTTAACACGTTGGTAGCCGATTTTTCGGGCTATTGACAGGTTGCTGTTCTGTGGACGCGGAACCGAGAGAAGCAAGCTCAGAATATTTGAAATTGATTTATTAATTATATGATATCAAACTCCAGGTAAAAGCATTTATTCTTTTCATCCAAAATTTTTCTGCCCAAATATTACTTTGGGATACAAAACAAAACCATATGGCACAACGTACGGCACAAGCTATCAGCGGTCTTCTCTTTTGTGCGGACCTTTGTTAGAACAGTATAACATCGAACTGGACCTAAATTTAAGCGATATTATTTCTTCACTTCAGAGGCCTAAAACCTTCATTTCTCCCTCAGCTTCCAGACATGGAGAGTTTATATTCTGATTTTGGAAAAAATTCAGCTCTGCAGCGATGTTAAATGGGTTATTCACCGCGAAATGTGGCCAATTCCGACATTTGTTTTGATACCACGAATCACGATGGATACCGCCTACTTTTCGAAGGCAATACCTAGCTATTTGTTGAAGTTATCATGGATTTCACCAATTTGGTTATTAGAAAAATTCTGAAGTGAGCCATGAAGACGGGCTGCAAAGCGGGTAAGCTGTATTTATGACGAAATCTGCTCCAGTGGTTCGATTTTGGTGTAGGCGAAAAAATCGAAAATGCTCGTACATGTGCTGATTCAAACGGTCATAACTTTTGAAAGATCGAAAACGTACAGGGGTTTTTGCATATTTTTGCCTATAAAGGTCTAAACTTAACGGCTGTGTAGGATAGAATCGTCAACCAGGTCCCAAATCCCAAAACTTAGCGTCTAAATCAAGGTTATTAACGGCTATCGGCCGATGGCGATTTCTAGCGGTCAGAATATGCTAAAATTCGCCTTTTCAAACATGTTGAGAGGGCAAATTCTAACTTTCTTGGCAAACTAGAAAGGTTTTTAAGCAATCTGATATAAATTCTGTGGCTTAACTATGCGAATCGAATATTTTACAATGTTACAAAATATGCCTA